GGGAGGGAGGGGAGGGAGGGAGGGGGAGGGAGGGAGTGCGAAAAAGCCACGTACAGTAATTTGTAAACACTGGACATACTCCACACACCTATACATACATGTACATGTCAATCTTTTTGTAAATTCATTGATTTTCAGAACTAGTCTTATGTCATTTTATAGTGCTGGAATATCCAACCCACCATTGTGCTAACCAACCTAAACACATGCAAATTGCACACTAAGACCTTTGACTCACATTCTACCACACTATAATAATTATAGTAGTTACCTGAAGAGCACAGAAGATGCAAGATTCCCCCACACATGTGTGACCTTTGAACTGTCTGAAACTGCGTCTGAATACATCCACATGCCACAGAACCTATACAAACAGTACAAACCAACACATCAGTTAATACTAGTCATCATTCAGATGACATCATTGTCACATGACTGCAGTTGGTGCAGCTAGCAAAGAGAGTTTATTCACTTCCTAGTACAATAGTACAGTATGCCATTACTGACAGGTGTATTGGTAGAATGAGTGTATTAGATATTGGTCGGTGGTGTAATAGTGACTAATAGAGAGGAGCTGCATTAGTTACAGTACATGTAACTAGACTTATGTACTACCAGGATGGTACTGTACTGTACTCAGTAGTGTTATAAACTCGAATTCGAATTGCACCACCTCCATAGCAACACGGCACACATTATTGACAGTTGTTGAGCTCATGAGACAGAGCAATCAATGCCCGGAGTACAATATGCTATAACTCAGATATTTCTACAACAGGTCCACATTCATACACATTACTAACTAAAATGGGAAAATTTAGAAATGTTAGATAGAACTAAACAATAGGAGCCCGGTGCAAGATTTCAGTAACAACTCAGCTCTTTATACTGCCACATTCTTACAGGTGGTATGCATGCTACTATGCATATGCTACATACAACAAGTCTGTAAAGTTTGATTGGCGAGCGATTCGAGCCAACATAACTACCAAGTCATTTCAATGCGGGAATTTTCACATCTTTTGACACACATACAACAGTGTGACAAGCTCTGTCGGGCACTGCACATACTGTAATGTTACTCTAGCAAAACATGCGTGAAATAATGAGCTGCTAACAATGCATTGCATTCCTCTTGTATATTAATGTTAACTTGGCATAATCACTATGCTACTCCTAACACACTTCAACCCTAGCATGTAGGACAGTAAAACTGAACTACACACAGGTTCACTAGTAGTAGTCATAAATGTGTGGTATAGCTATAGTATGGACCTGAACACAGGAGTTGAGGAAGCAGTTGTTATGACCAGTTGGGTTGAGGAGTCCTTTGTTAGTGAGAGACATGGACATCTGTCTGCTGACAGGTCTGGAGGTGGTCTCTGGTCTGGTGCTCCGATGGAACAGAGGGACTGCTGGGAGCTTGGGGAAGAATGTCATCTCTAGAGAGAGAGAGGAGGGAGGGGAAGAGGGTAACTGTATGTACTTTACTACTCAATTTATGACATAATTCCAATACTGGCTACGTGAAGAACTAACCCATACACCATAAATGGCACCACAATAGAACTTTACTCACGATAACTTCGTACTACGCCGTATGCTTTTTATGTCTTCTATTCTCATTCTACGAGGCTAAAGTGTAACTCAACCTACACCACTACACCTACACAATAACGCTTACCTGCGTTTCAGACGTCGTCTCAAACACATGAAACACACCTATCCGTCTGTCAGCACTGCAGTGATCCTACAGGACAGCAGGAGGAACCTCGTAGACTGACTAAAGAACAGGAGAACACAGTCCACACAATGAGCTAGCAAACGATGACGAAATCGGAGGCGTGGCTCTATAATTCTAATTAGCGCGCACCAACAGAAAAGGCTGCTCTTGCTGGCATTGGTAACTGGTTTTTCTCGAGCCAGGGAGCCTTTTGCGCAGGGATTGTGAGCATAATTTTGGTAGTTATTCTTATTGCAGACTGGTATTTTGTTGGCTCCGCTTTTCCAAAATTTTTTTTAGATACTCACTCCTTACATGTGCCATCTACCGTTTTTTAGGCCGATTGACTAGAATATGTCAGTGTCCAGCCTGTTCACTTCTGCCCTGCATGTGGTAGTGAATGACGTCACACTCCACGAGAGGGAATTCCCGCTATCTCCCTGGCAACGTGCGGACTCAGTTGGGGAAGGTGATGGCGAGACGAGGACTCCTGTGTGCCAGAAACATGCCTCTGGTAGCTACTGGGAGATTATTACACACACAATTATGAGCCAGTGAGCTGAAAGAGCTAACACCCACACATTATCTTCCTCTACCAAATAGGCCTATAGCAGCTTTCAAAATCGCAAATGGCACACTTTAGACATGCTCGAAAATGGTTGCACAACTTTTGGTGCAATAATGGACAGTGCTTTGTAATAGACTGAAAAAAGTGGCATGCTTTGTTTGGCACTGTATAAGAGCACTGCGACTGCGTTGATTAGAAAAAGTACGGTAACTGTACTCAGTTATTTTGTAGAGAGTATTTTGAACTGGTTGGAGTATACAGGTTCTGCATGAAGGGATGTACAGTCTGGACCTGAGTGAGAGTCAACTGAGACAAGAGGAGGTGGGGCTGGTCTGGAGACTGTGTCCTCGCCTCAAGAGACTAGACATTGGAGTCAGGAGAGGCACTCGGGACTCACTATCAACCACAGGTCTCATTATACTGAGAACTACCTGAATGACACTGTCCAGTGTAGGCGTCTTCCATGACATCCCTACATCCCCCGCCTTCAAATTCTGAGATATGATTTTTTACACTTGTTATACTGGGAACTATATAGTACATACATTCCCTTCCATACTCTGGGTAGAGTAAGGACTGCAAGTGTATTTGGGCTATCTCCGTTTACTCCACAGTTGTTCTCTTACTTACTATCATATGTATGCTAGCTACACCATGCCATATTAAATTGAGCTGCCCTGGGTGTATATAGTTGACTATTGTTGCTTTGCCTTCGCCTTGGTACCTCGTTATTGACTGAACAAAGATGCTTCTTCAAATATTTTGCCGTTTCCTGCCCCCCTCAGCTCTGGCGCAGTTGCTGTCTCACTTGCCGTCCCTCCTCTCCCTCAACCTCCAGTCCTGCTCCCTCCTGAATGACGCCACTCTCCTCCCTCTCTCCTCCTCCTCCCCCTACCTCACCTCCCTCACTCTCTCCGGCTGCTCTCTTGTCTCTGACCCCAGTCTCCTGGCCATAGCCTCAAGACTATCATACCTCCAGGCACTAGGCCTCGCTTACACACAGGTCTCTCTCTCCTTATACTTTATACTGTACTGTATAGAGGCCTTGCATACACACAGTATATACTAACTTCTTATGACTAATGCTATGTGTGTGGCTGGGTACTATCACAACTGAGTGGCTTTTTTTAGAATAAGCCACACTTTCACTGTTTCGGAAAAAACACCATTTTTTACAGGTGTCTTCAGTTGGTCTTACTGCCTTGGCTAAAGGAGTCTGTGCCAAGGTTCTAAAGGTGGGTTACAAGTAAACTGGCAATTATGCTGCCTTTGCCTTTAAACCTTTTTGTTGACACAGCTACAATCATCTCTTTCTCTGTTAAGATGTAGCTACCATTTTTGTGTTTGTTGCTGAAAAAAGAGACACTGACTTCTATCTCCCACTATATTGACTGAACAGGAGTTGGACATGAGTCACTGTGAGAGGGTGAGAGATGACGGAGTCCTGTGTCTCCTCTCCCACTGTCCCTCTCTCTCCATCCTCATCCTCCATGGCTGTCCTCTCCTCACCTCCCTCTCCAGAGACATTGCCAGTCGTGGCCACAAAATCAAACAAGTCACTTGGACTGTATACTAACATAGGGTCCTTTTTTAGTTCGTGTCTTGCATTGTAGCGCTATTGAAGGTTACTTTAAAACTACTTGTGACATCTGCTGAGAGGTCAGTAGGATAAGACTATTCTCTGATCTGTAAAGATGACAGGACAAAAAGATGAAGGGAAATAGCTAGTATGGCTAGTAGCATCTTCATGCAACACTAGGTAGTATAAAAAGGGATGGTATAAAAAGGAACTTGAGGAGGAGGGATGACTGATTCATGCCGTGCAAAGGCACCATGCACCCGTCGACAGGCTACATGCCTGTTGCCTGTTTTCTGCATTCGCGCGGGTTTTGTACACGCATGCGCGCGCGGGGGGTGCTCATAATAATTATTGCTGCGCCCGCCCCCTTCGGCCGCGCGGACGAGTCCGTGGCCTACAAAACCGAGTGTACAAGACCATTACGGAAGACTTACCATGGGAGCTAAAAGCTCAAAACAGAAGGTAAAGGACTTCTGCGCTTCAGATCTGTGGGCAGTGTAACTGTCTTAGCTAACCATGCATGTTGAATGATCAAAGCTGAATAGCTAGCTAGGTATATCCGGGGTTGAGGTATAATATACATTGCTACGATTTGCAAGCTTAGCTAGTGACTGTCTTTTTCAGTCGGGTTTCCAGAGGAGGTGACATTTTCTTGTGAAATACATTTGGGTGTGGCACTCACAGGGAAAATTGGTTATTCATTGCGTGGAGGTCCCAGCAGTTATATATAATAGTCTTACAGCTATTTAGACCGCAGTCACGCGCAATTGACCAATCAGATTACAGAATTGCGGGGGGTTTATTTTTCATAGACACCTCGTTTCAGGTGTCTAAATGGCGTTTGCAGGTGGTCTACAGCAAACTCCCCGTCAAAATGGCTATTCTCAAAAGTCGTTATCTGCGCAAACGGCCGATTCCGCGTTCGGTATATGTAAAGCGTAGAAGGCGCGACTGGCAAGTAGCTCTTTTAAAATGCTGCTAGTGCACCTGCAAGAAGTCTTTGTGGACAGTCTCCGGAGCTCGCGAAAGTCATAAATCACGTCAATATTCCACGAAAAAAGCGTCGGGCTTCTTCAGCTCTGGCGATACACAAACACATTGGGCCGTTGCCGTGCGTTGCTAACCCTTTCAAACGCGCACCACCAATGAGGGCGTTTTATGATGACGTAAACGATTTTTGACGGGGGCGGGGGCTGTCTCCTCGGAGTCTCACACGTAAAAAAAGCGCCTTGTTCGATCCGAAGGTAAGGAATGAGGAATGAGCGCAGCGTTGCTAGCTTGTTGCTACCATTTGAACGCGCAAACACCAATCAGATACTCCGGTCTAAAACCGGTTAGACGCGGAAGCTCGGTTGTCTACGCACATTGCAACCCTCGGGGCATGTGGGTAGCGCCCTCGCTGCGCTCAGGACGCCAACATTCCACAGCCCCTCGGGTTGCAATGTTTAGCGTAGACACCTCGCTTCCGCGTCTAACCTATATATAGCAGGTGAATGCAGCTCATCTTGGCGAGCAGGCGCCTACCCACACAGGCGCATGACTAGCTACTGCAGAGTGTACGGCGTGAGATGCTATAAACAATGAAAACCCTCGGCGAACTGCGCATGCACGATACTGCTAATTGATGGGCTGGGCTATTTGTGTCGTGGTCTCCCGCTAGTAACTCGCGGAGAATCTGACACGGGCTAGCTAGCTACAGTGGTAGATAGCACGCGGGAATCGATACATGCCATTCTTCGTGACTTCCTGAGCCCCCAAGGTACACAGAGCGAGTGGATCAGGTCTCAGTGCGATTATGCATATTGCTTTTTCGCTTGTTTTCACGGCATATCTCTCGAACTCAGCCGTTTCAGGAAAATCGCCCTTTTATATACTTTTCAGGCTCGCGTAGTTCTGAAGCCGCTGGTATCGCTAATGGGCCGCCTCGTAGCCTGTAGTGCCAGAATAAGCGTTGACGCACACACACACACACACACACACACACACACAGACAGAGACAGACAAACCAACTACCGTAACCCTCGCTGCGCACGCGCTGAGGGTTAATGAGCATTGAAAGAATAAAAATGCGCCTAACATTGACTGTAGCTAGCCGAAAGCCTATTTCAAGCGTCTCAAGAAACAATGTGGCTAAGCTGGTGGAGTTCGCTCCTTGCTGCTTGCGCGCAGTTGGTCCTAACGGCTATATGCACAACAAATTACTGGCAGGATGCTACTGTGGTCGGTGTGAGGCGGGTAAAAACATTTGGTAGCTAGATGCCTGATGCAAGTCACAGCAGATGAAAAGATTTTGAACAGAGTTTTAATCTCAATGTTACCTCTGCAATAACAAGTTCTTGAGCATGATAGCCACACACACTTCTGCCTGATAGATAAAGCATGTGGGCAGCCTTAGTATACAGTGTTATATTAACAAACTTATGTCTTCTGTAATGACATTCACCCGACTTGATTTAACGTTGTTAGCTACTGAGGTTCATAATAATAAATAATGTCCAATGCCCTGTCTCATGAGAAACTACTCACAAAGTCAGGAAATTTGCCACTAATATTCCTCATCACACAACAGAGCATTATTTGAGTTAAGCATGATTGTTACTGTACCTCAACATGTACCATCAGTCAGTCTGTTGGCACTTTTCCGACATTGTAGCCATTATACAATATTCTGCAGTGCTTTATTTTACTAGAATGAGCATTTTTGCGAACAGCAAGTGTAAAATCTCAGTGCTTTACGTGTTTATTCACCACCCACAGTGTAGTTTAAGCCTAAGAGTTTCAATACAATTGGTAGTTACAGCCACTAGGTTGGCTCGCTTTTATATTTGCTTTTCTGTCCAGACCAAGGATCCCAATGACATATCTCTGAGCCTCAGCGGTCTGTATGGCTATCAGAATGTGTGATCCACACAGCCCAGGTCCTGGGCTCTGGATCCTATGGCAATGTGGTGAAGGCAACACTGGATAAAAAGCCATGTGCTGCTAAAATCCTCCATCGAGTCTTCATTGACTCCCAGGACCCTGGACTCTCTGACTTCATCTCTCGATTTGAGCAGGAGTGCCAGATCCTGCGAGACCTGAAACACCCCAACATTGTCCAATTCCTGGGTGTGGTCCAAGACCCCGCCACCAACAAGCCCATTCTCCTCATGGAGCTGATGAAAGACAGTCTGACACACTTTCTGGAGAGCTCGCCAACCGACATACCCTACCATGTCCAAGTGAACATCTCCCACGACATAGCTCTAGCAGTGGCTCACCTGCACAGGAATGGCATCCTCCATCGAGACCTGTCCAGCAACAACGTCCTCCTGAATGCCAGCCACCAGGCCAAGGTGACCGACTTTGGCATGTCCAAGATCACAGCCTCCAATCCCTCCATGACCCGCAGTAAGGTGACCAAGTGTCCAGGAACACTGGTCTACATGCCACCAGAGGCCCTTCGTCCCCAGCCTCGCTACTCCGACAAGATTGACACTTTCTCCATTGGAGTTCTCCTTCTCCAGATTGTCACCAGAAAGTTCCCTGCTCCCACTGCTGAGTTTGTCACAAAGATAGATCCCAATTCTCCTACCAAGGAAAGCTATGTTCCAGTCCCAGAGGTTGACCGCAGAAAGTCAGACATTGACACGGTTCCAGCCTCCAGTGGTTTTCTGCCAGTCATTAGAGACTGCCTCAAAGACATCAGCAGTGACAGACCAACAGCTGCCCAGCTCTGCCAGAGACTGGGCCAACTGAAGAGTACTGCAGTCTACAGTGGGAGTCTTAGTGCACTACCTTTTGATGTAGGTTTATCCCTAACACAATTTTTCTTGTAACTCTTCTAATTGTGTCTCTATACCCAGAGAAGAACAGAGCTCCACGATGCTGCTGAGAGAGGCGATGTGAAGGCAGTTGAGAGACTCCTCTCCACTTCTGTCAAATATCAACTCCAGGACTGAGGATGTGAGGCTCTCTACTAGTGAATGTGTAGTCTCATTTCTGACTCAGTTCATTGACTGCTGCTCCACTGGTCTCTGTATCCCCACCACTTGCAGGAAGGACACACTGCTCTACTGTTAGCCTCTTACCTAGGTCATGTTGAGGTTGTACGTCTGTTGCTCAAGGCTGGGGCTGCAGTCTTCATTCCTGACAAGGTTTAGGAACCATGTCGTGTTCTGTTTATTGTCTTTATGTACACAGTGTTGTTGTTAGCTTATTAGCTTATTGTTCTTCAGTATGTGAGGTTTTCACTGTTAGCCTATATAGAATGAGAATTGTAGGCTAATACACTTGTGAAGGTTGGATGAGGAGGAGACCTGACAGAGATGGTTGTCAGGTCTCCTGGTGTCCAGGAGGGAGATGAGTGGTCAGTAGTGATGTCGAATGTCGCATTCGTTTCCGCTCTCACTGTACAGGATGGTATCAGTCCACTCTATCGTTGCCAGTTCAAGAGGACACACTGAGGTGTGGATGTGCTGGTGAAAGCTGGTGAGCTGATGTACATCAGGCAACAGCCAGGTATGTAAGGAAATGTTGTGGTTTGTATTCAAGGGACAACCTACAATTCATGTCCTGCACTATACATGCACACATGACAATACATTACTATGTCCTATGGTACCAATCATCTAGTAGGTAAATGTGTCAACATGGTTTTGCTTCTAAGGCAGTGTGTATAATTTGTAGTTACGATGCAGTGGTACATAGTAGTAAAGCAAGCTTGTCACGAAGATTGGGGTCGGGAGTAACGACTGCTAGGGAGCCCTCCTATTGGTATGATCTCCAGCACCTCCTACCCACCTACCTCCCTTGTAGTTCAACTAATTCCCATGAAAACAAAATGTTGTCATCCAGAGTGGGTGAGACTCCATTCTACTTGCCTCCTGGGAAGGGTCATACAGCTGTAGTTAAACTGCTGATAGAGAATGGAGCTGATATCAGTATCTATGATAAGGTATTGTACATGTCTCAACTGTTGATCTAAAAACTCCTGTCGATTGCTGTGGACTAAAACTTTCAGGCCATATACAGTGTAAATATATATGATCCAGAATGATTGTAGGATTATTGTGCAGTGGCTGAGACCAGAGCCATATTAATTTACTACTAGCCTCTTACAGATTGTGTACTCAGCGCTGTCGGGTTGTCAATGGAGTAGTGAGGCTGAGGCTAGCCATAAAAATGTGGGAAGTTTCATACAAGGCGGTCTTGGATGTAACATGATATCTGCACAAGCTTCAGAGCTGAATAATGCACCCCAGTCAAGGGAATGTAACAACTTTGCTAACTGGTGATCCCCTTTTATCATGGGCTTACTTTCCACACCCTCCAGTTGTCTGAAATTAGTGCATTGATTTCTAGGCAATGGCTAACAAATAGCCATGCATGTCAGCAAACACTGTTGGTACGTAATTACATGTTCCAGACTGGAAGTAAACCCCACTTCCTACTCTCTCACTGTACAGGATGGTGCCAGTCCACTCTATCTTGCCAGTCAAGAGGACACTCTGATGTAGTGGACATTCTGCTAGAGGCTGGTGCTGATGTCCACCAGGCCACCACCAAGGTATGATACACAGTTGTTCTAGAGCTAGTCATCTCATTTGTCCACCAACCATGGTGGCAGTGATGTAGCCAAGAGCTCTGACTAGACCTCAACACTGAGATTGGTATGTACAACAAAGCTGTCAAGCACTTTTGTTAGTGCAACACATGTCACTAAATCATGTGCATGCAAGAATTTATGTGTATAATTATGTATGTGTCTGATCCCACAATAATGGTTTAGTTTCCCGTTGTCTCACTCTACTATCAGCTAGGTATAATACACAGTGTATCATTGTAGGAAACACTACATCCCATACTCACCCTTCATACGGAACTTACTTTTTTCTCTTGTTTTCTTGAGAACGCAGCACTTTTACGAAATTGCTACCATGTTCTGATGCATTGTATATATGTCTGTGTGTTTGTTAGTGTCTGTGTTCTGACACATTGTATTGTCTGAGTATTGGTTAGTGTCGTGTCTCATTCCCTGATCCTCTGAAACCACACTCTGAGGTGTCTGGTCCTCACTGACCTGCCAATGCTGAACTCAACAATTCACAGTTTCTCTCTCTCATCAGGATGGTGATGTTCCTCTGGAGATAGCTGCCCAGCATGGGACATACTGAGACAGTTCAGAGACTGTTGGAGGCAGGAGCCAACGTCAACCACCAGAACAAGGTTGAGGTTTTGGTTGTCAAAATCAACATACTTTTTCCTACGTGCATCTCTGCACACGGCATGCACACAAGTGCCAGTTTTGTGTGGTTGATGTCATGTGGGAAGTCAGGGTCTGAGTGATTGTTTGACAAATCCTTCCACAACAACAGATAGTTTCCCAGGGATACATATTTCAGTTAATGGACCGGGCTCCATTACTTCCAGGGTTTAGTCCCTGTGATTGTACTCTGGGCAGGAGGGAGTGGCAACACCCTCCTCTCACCCAAGCACTCTGTGGGTAATTAGAGGGGAGGAGCCATGTGTAGGGTGGCAAAGTATTATTTGGTCACAATGGCAGCCCGGACAAAAACTACTCAGGAAGTGTGCCAATGTCGCTTTTTTGCAACAAACTAGTTTAACACTTGTAGCTATAGTGCAGTGCTACACTTGATAATGATCCGATGCTTGTCTCTTTCATAATGTTATTAACACTTTGTATTAGCTATGATGGTCTCTATTATACTCTAAACACAGGAAGGAAGCACAGCCTTGCTCTATGCAGGATGGAAAGGTCACTCAGAGGTGGTGAAACTACTGCTAGGAGCTGGGGCCAGAGACATTCCTAATAAGGTAGACCACAGAGTCACTATGATGTGTCCTCATGAACCACAGGGTGTACATAGACACAAGTGTGTGTGTCAAACTATTTTAAGAAGGAAAGAGAGCTATCCCGGGTGGGACTCGAACCAACGACACTCTGTTCTCTAGCTATGGGGCAGCTCAGCAGGCAGTGCTTAATCAAACGTTCTGTAGTTTTTATGAAGATTGCCCACATATGCACATTGTTTTATATACGAAAGCACAGTTTACCATTGCACACAATAAAGAGGTGTGGTACTGTTCATGCAAAATCGCTATAGAGGGCTGGGTACTATCAAACAGTTCTTTTCTGTTTGCCAATCATAGTAATGGGAGGTCTTCGTGCATATTAATCTGACACACGTCTAATGGATGTCTATTTGTCTCTACAGTTTGGAAACACTGCTCTGAGTATGGCCAGAGCCAACAACCACAATGATGTGGTACAGTATCTACTGCAACACCAGCCAAAGTGAAAAGTAGACACTCTAGCACTGTTACAAGAACATAGGTAGTTTTTACACTTTTACATAAGAAAATACTTAGGCTGTTTAAAAATAAAATGCAAACCTCCCTCAATTATTTCAATGATCTCTTATAATATCCATGAAGACCCATAGTCATGAAAGAACCTGATGCCAATGACTAATGCATGCACAGAACTGGTTTCACAAGAGCTTGGGGCAAAAGTATAAGTAGTTTATCAGCGTCTCAGAAGGAAATTCAGCTGGTGGAAATGTCTCAACGCATGTGTTGCTACTGGACATGAAGCAGCTATGCTACGTTGATGTGTCTGTTCCAGTAACCCCAAGTAAGCAGTGATCTGAGTATGCAGTGTTGCTGCGTGAGTGTCTGATGGGCTTCTTCACAAGACCTTTCTCTTTCTAATCCACGTGGCACCTGTCTCACTCTAGCATCAGTGGCACATCCAGTAACAAAATTGTGAATGCGAACAGGGGATATATCCTTAGCCCAGGCCCAGTTGTCATTAGCTGATGCAGGATAGGGAATTATTGTGAAGCACATGACGTGACATTGTGGTTATACTATTGCAACAATGGGTGGGTGTATATACTCTTCCCGGAATGCAAGGGCCAGCCCAGCAGGATATCGGGGCGAGGCCTCTTTGCCTCTTTGTCTAACTGGTGGAGTTGGGAAGTTGGCGTATTAGAACAAATTTGCAGTGAGTTAGTTAGATACAGCACGTTATAGACATAGCGCTCAGAACTTTACCATCTTAGGTGTGTATAACCGTTCTATAATGCACTGGGATACGTAGGACCGCTAGCGGTACGTGGACCCACCCTAGGTCTAGCCACTGTGCGCTATCACAGGCGGTGCGCGGGCGATGGTGTTTTAGTTGCAGATGGTTATCTGCAAATCCTCGTGATGCTCGCGCTCGTGGCGTGACTACTCTGGACTATGCCAAGGGAGAGCAGGGAGCATTGTAAGGCCATGCCAATATACCGCGCGTGATGTGCGCGCTCGCACACCCCTCCCCTCCAAACACAAAAGGGTAATCAGCAAGCCAGATAATTAGCCCAGCTATGTTATTATCACTCACCTGAGCCTATGTTCATACAAGTATACGTCAACTTTGTACTTATGGCATAGCAACTTCCTTTATCAGACCTCCGCAGTTTTCTGGAAAAACAGCGAGTGTTGACAGTGGCAGCAAGGCCAGGTAGCAGAAAGGTGAGGTTTAGTACAGCTCTCATAAAGCTTGATGCTGCCATGATGTGTTTAAAGAATGTGTGCTTTCTGCACTTATAATTAAAATTAATGACAGCTGTTGTCTGTTGAGGATGTACGGAGAAACAGGTGGATCATACTCTTCGGATGAGTTTGTGAAGGTTGAAAAAAACAAAATTAATGGTGGGTTATATACCTGTGCCTTTCACATATCACATGATGTACTATATACCTCCTAGCTAAGTATGGTAGGGCCAACAGTGTGCTCCAAGTATGTCTGGGTCCCTCTCCACGACTTATCATCTCCTCGTGATGTCCAACAATGTGAAGGAAATGTGCCAATTCTTGCTGAGTATGACTCATTCTTTGTGAAGGAATTCAATGTCAATCAACTAGTTAAAAGTGATCTCTACGATTCTTTGCACACAGTGTTTGTCTTCCTCTCAAATACTGCTTGCAGTAACCTGCCAATTGTTGTAACAACCGAAAGATACAATGAGACTTCTCAGCCCCCTTATGGTCCCGTGTACATGCTGGAAAATTCTATCATCTCACTCAACGTCTGTGCTAGTACAGAAAGCCTGATATGATCCTCTTATTCTCTACATACTTAAGACTGTCGAGAAATTTCTTAATTACGACCCGAAACATCCATCTAAAGAGTACTATCGAAAGCATATTCTAGTGGGGAACAATGGCTTTACAAACTGTACTAACATATCTCTGGTGCTCGTGTCGCAAAGTGACTACTACACAATAAACTTCTTGCTACCAAAGGGTATCACTCTCATGTACAATATTACTGAGAACATCAAACAGATAGACGTTGATGCTGTCATACTACACTTTAGGACCTTTAAGTCCAGGAACAGTGACCAACGATTAGGGATAGAGTTAACTTGGAACTGGACAACACTGTCTGTTTGTTGATATCCGAACTAGCAGTAATGCCACGTCTCGACACTACACCACTCTGAAATACAGGCAAAGCTCGTGTTGACACTGGTGTTGGAATTACCACAACTGCACTGCTTGTATTTTTTTTTGTCGTCTTGTTGTGTGAAATATTTGTTTACGTTTCTGTTAGAAAATTAGTGTCTTACTGTAAACAGCGGGGATATAAACCAGTGACAAGTATTAATGAGGATTGATCTCTGTATAACCTTGTGCTAATATAAAACATGCTTATTATTTTTGTACAAAAATATGTTATCAGGAATGTGGAAAAAACAGCCTCCATATTGATCAAACCGTAGGACTGTAGACACAGGATATGGGTTAGTAAAAATGGTGTTTCACTAACCACAGACTTGTGTTATGATATCGTCAAACGACTACTATTCAGAGGTCCACAAGTTGTGACTCTCACTTTCAATCTCTCAGTGGAGATAAAACAGATCATGCTATAAAGGCACAATACTAGGGTCCATTTACCCCGACAGTGATGACCAAACATTGGTATATAATGAAAATCACTGAAGTGGCAAACGCCTCGGCGCATCATGTGAAGCGGCACGTCAGTAAGCTTAACGCATGCCGCGCGAGCGTACCACTAATTGATGGCTGGGGTTTATATTCGCTGTCACTGACTACTCGTGGTCTCCGGTGCAGCTGCTAGCTCCGTCGCTAGTAGTCTGACGCGGGCGACTAATCTACACTATTAGCACTCGGCATGCGACGAGGCGATATCAGCGCCCTCTGTCGTTGCAGATCTTCTGGTGCTCCTTCCGCAGTATTACGCAGCCGCTACGACCTGCTGAAGCAATCGGCCGTTGCGTATCTGCGTATAAGCCTTTTCGCGCTCAGTAAGCTTCGCACGCAGGCACCCTTTTTCAGGAGAGAACCAGGGAAACAAACCGCCTTTACTTTTACTGACCTCGATCGCCCGCTTGGGCCGGCCAGATGTATCGATGTATGGTGACGCGAAGCAAGACGTGTCGAGGCCGTGTAGATCGTGTAGACTAACGACAGACAACACAGACAGACAGACAAGCTCACATGAAAAGCAGCGGAAGTTAGTGTCACACACCGCGGCGGCGCGCCATCTGTGACGCGCGCGCGTATGTAAAAACGCATGCGCACTCGCGCGTACCACGCAATTGAGGGCTGGGTTAGTTTTAGAGCTGTTACTGCGGTCTCTGCCGAGCTCGCGCCATAGTGCTGACGCGGGCTAACACTCCACTACTAGATATGATATGCGAGAGGCGCCCTGCGTTTAAGCCTTCTGAGTGCCGCCGAAGTAGCGCAGATGTGCACGCTGGACCTCGATCCTCTCGACTGTCGGTAAGTCCGACTCCCGTCTCGTTTGCTGCAATGCATGGATCCGGACAACACTGTACTATTTGC